ACTTTTAACCTGTAGGGAAAGGATTCCAGGGAGGACACCGCCTCTCCTATAAGGCTGTGCTTTGTGTAAAAAACGCTGCCTGGGGAGGGCCCGCCAGAGCTGGGAGGCACGGCGAAGAATCGGGAGGGAGCCTCCGCTGCCCGGCCGTCGCTTCCCCCCATTCCGCCTCTTAAGGCGGGGTCTTTCCTTAACGCAACTCTCGACGAAAAAGAAAAGTCAGAGAAAAATCGGGAGGCTTTCAAGACCTCCAGGTCTCTTCATCAGCGAGATGTCGTAAAAGACAAGCTGGGGAGCGTAGTGAAGAAGGAGAGGAGATGCGGCGTCGGAGTGCGGAGAAACTGGCTTAACGTCCCGGCCGTGTGTTGAACTGCACGACTTAATGAACTGGATCACGGTGAATAATTGCAATGAATACATCGGTTACAAAAGATCCTCGGATTTCTGTAATTCAGCTAATCAGTGAGATCAGGGATTAACGGGATAAATTCAGGGCAATCTGTGCCTTCGGAAATCGGTTTGGTTGGACGGCCTTGCTGTGGCTAGTTTTGCCCAACATGCTTAACCTGGACCAATGAAGACCTATGAGCTGCGTTTGAACGACATGCCAAGCTTAGTCAGTTTTATGCTTGACTAGTGTATTCTGTGGGCTAGCATGTTAAATCGAGAAAAAGGGTGGATTTAGTCATTATTACATATACACGTGTTTATACAGGTGCGGTATAAGCATTTTTTTAATGCTATCAAGCCAGTGTTGAGTCCTGGAAACTGCCTGGACTAGTCCCTGTAAAAATTCAGAAGTGGCTTGCCCTGGCCTGCTTCCTACAGCTGAGAGAGGGGGACTGGCCTGAAGTCACCCAGCTGGCTTCACGGCTAAGGCAGGACTAGAACTCACAGGCTCCTAGTTTCTAGCCTGGTGCCCTAACCGCTAGGCCAACCCTGGCTCTCTATAACCAGTTGATGTATAGAAAATCAAACCCAGAAGTTCCAGATACAGCCCCATTTTGGAAAATAAGCTTAGATACTAATCTAAGTAAAATAAGATTCGATACTAATCTTTTAAAGCAAATATCTGCATACTCAAAGCAGTAATTGATGGGAGCGTCTTATTGTTTTATTTTCTAAGACTGAATCCTAATCATTATAAATTGAGCTGTCCTCTGCTTCCCATTACCCCCAACTTGAATATGTGAATAACACCGAACACGATCTTGCCCAATTTAATGGATATTAAACCTCATGTTCAGTTGTTTCCGGTAAAATTTAATTTACATATAAAATATAGGTCCTTCAATTAGATAAAGCCTAGGCTTTCTGCAAACACAGAATCCTTTTGCTGTATTTCCTTTGAACTGTTCCTCAGTGTGGAAAATATATGTTCCAATGTTGGGCAAACTAAATTAAATCCACACATTCCAATCCCAGCCTGTTGACCTTGTAGTCAGGATGGATTGAAACTGCCTCACAGTGCAAGGCAAAAGCCCCATTCCAGCTAGAATGTATATGCAGATGTTTCTGATTGAGATGGATATTTCTGACAAAAATTTCTAGTCCACGGTGCACAGCTAAGCAATAATGCACTTTCAGCTGACATCATTTGACATGAATGATGCAAATCTTTGCTATTGTTCCATATCCATGGCCATCAGGTTTATATACAGCTGACTGGAATAGGATCAGCTTCAAATAAATTATCTGATATCAATGTTTAAGCTCCTTTTATAATAGGCACAAATGTTATATACCAGAAAAATGAGAAACTTGTTGAATAACAGTTTGATGCAACCTGGAATGGGACCTTCTTGAGAACATCCAGTTAAGGAAACAAAATGTTACTAATAAGCATTAGATATGAGTTCTTTACAGCTTAGTGAGTTTTATCTTGTGATTAAAACAAAACAAACTACTCTGGGAGATCCACAACTGATACTCCAAACAGAAGCAAGCAACAATTCAGAATACTGGGCTATTCTATTTTCATGCCAACTGAGACTCCAAAGATGGACATAACTCCCAGTAGGAGAAAATAACTGGACCATTGGAGGGGAGAAGAGTTAGAATAGAGTGTCCAACTTTCAGCATCCTTCAGCCTGAGTCATGATAGCAGCAACTGCTGGGAAAGATGGTTCAGCATCATCTAGAAGGACAGAGGTTCCCCATCCTTATTGTAGCATCTAGTTTGGGAAGAAGAAAACTTACTGAAAGCAAAAGTGAAGGTTGACCACATTAAAAGTACTTTTAACACTCTAGCATTGCTTTCTTTTTTTATATTATTTCAAGGCAGTCTTTTCCTAGACTGTATCAACCAGATGGGTTAATGCACGAATGAATGCTCCATTTGGAAGCAAATACCTTGGGTATATTTTTAAAAGACTGCATAATCTAAGTAAGGCTAACTTAGTCCTCAGCCCCAACATGCTAGTTTTTTATATGTATAAATTAAACCTGGATAATATAGTCTATTTCCAACCCGTGTGTTTGCATGTATTTATTATTAATAGCCTTATTGTTTCATGAATGTCCATTATTCACAAAAATGTGGATGTAAATATATATTTTTCAAGATACTTTCTTATAACGTGCACTTATAAACATAGTCTAAATATAATTATAGTAAGCATTTTTATTGTGAAATATACAGATTTAATGCATTTTGATACAATGAACCACATTGTGAAATTCAGAGATATACAAAATCCAAACACTCTGATCCTATATGCTCTCTTACAGAAATAGATCATGGCAGGTTCCATTGGAATTCACAAAGATCAAACATTGCTGAAGGAAATATTAACATCTGATCTTTCAACTATCTGGCAGAAAAATGAGATTAAAGGGGAACACGAGAGGTTGAATCTGTGCTGGTTTTATGATTTTAAAACTGTTTTAAACTTTTCAGAGTATTTTTAAACAGTTTTTAAAGTGCAGCAACCAGAAAAATCTGCAGTAGCTGAACATGCTCTCAAGCACACTGGACACAAAAT